GCCGGCTTCTGTGACAAATAATTCCCTCCCCATCTAAACAATCCATCAATTTTCCAGGTGAAGGAAGATGGCCGAGGATGTTGCTGTAAGGATTTGTTTTTTTGTTTTTTAATGTTTATTTCTGCAGTTTATATCCTTTTAGTCTCCATTCACACTTGTGGACACACATGACAAGTCGCAGCCCCCCCTGTATTTCATCAAAAACCATTCAAATCTATGCAACTGCCAGTCGTAGGGACTTTGAGAAAGGTTCCTACGCTACTCTGATGCGACTTGAGTGCCATAAACTGCAATGTAAACCCTCAAAAAAAAAAAAAAAAAGTCGCTTCTTAATGTTATCGATGTCACAGTTGTGCAAAAGCCAAAGTCACAACCAAGTTGCGCCGATCCAAAGTTGCATCGTAAAGTCACAATGGAAACCGCGTGACTTTGGAGTCGCACAAAGACTCCAGAGATGGGTAACTTTGGCCGGGTGCTACTTTACTGTGACTTGTTCCTCTGCAAAGTCAGATCCGCTGTTGTACCCAAAGTTGTATGTAATAAATTCAGGTATGTCTTCCATGCAGCTTTTCAGGGTTGGCCCTCAAGTTGCATGAAAGTCGGACCAAAGTCGGCCATGAACTACTCTGAAGTAGCTGCAACTTTAAATTGGAGCTCCCCAAAAGGGGAATTTCTATTTATAGGCATCCCCCCCACATTGACTGTGGCACTTTTTTGGGTGGTGGAGGGGGAAGCGGGTACCTGGATTTGACAGCTACGTCTGCTCCCACTTCCAGGTGAGTCTACCACTTTTGGGATGTGCCACAGTTCCCAAAGGACTGCAGGACCAATCACAAAGTGCAATTGCTGCTCAGGCATGCCCAGTAGGAAACCGATTGTCTTCACTGCCGATTTCCCTTAGTTAACCACTTATAGTCCAGAGACACTTCCCCCCCCTTCCAGTCCAGACACTTTCCCCCCCTTAGTCCGGCTTTCCCCCCCTTCCAGTCCGGACGCTTTTCCAGTCCCCCCCCCTTCCAGTCCGGACGCACTTTCCAGACCCCCCCTTCCAGTCCAGACACTGCCCCCCCCTTCCAGTCCGGACGCTTTCCCCCCCCTTCCAGTCCGGACGCTTTCCCCCCCTTCCAGTCCGGACAACTTTCCCCCCCTTCCAGTCCGGACGCTTTCCCCCCCTTCCCGGACGCTTTCCCCCCCTTCCAGTCCAGACACACGCCCCCCCCCCCTTCCAGTCCAGACACTGCCCCCCCCCTTCCAGTCCGGACGCTTTCCCCCCCTTTTCCAGACACTGTCCGGACACCCCCCTTTCCGAACCCTCCCCCTTCCAGTCCGGACGAGTCCGGACACTTTCCCCCCCCCTTCCAGTCCGAACGCTTTCCCCCCCCCAGTCCAACACTGCCCCCCCCCCTTCCAGTCCGGACACTGCCCCCCCCCCTTCCAGTCCAGACACTGCCCCCCCCCTTCCAGTCCGGACGCTTTCCCCCCCTCCAGTCCGGACGCTTTCCCCCCCTTCCAGTCCGGACACTTTCCCCCCCCTTCCAGTCCGGACACTTTCCAGACACCCCCCCCCTTCCAGTCCGGCCCCCCCCTTCCACGGACGCTTTCCCCCCCCTTTTCCAGACCAGACACTGCCCCCCCCCCTTCCAGTCCAGACACTGCCCCCCCTTCTTCCAGTCCGGACTTTCCCCCCCCCCTTCCAGTCCGGACACTTTCCCCCCCCCCTTCCAGTCCGGACGCTTCCCCCCCCCCCCCCCCTTCCAGTCCACGCTTTCCCCCCCCCCTTCCCCGGACCTTCCTTCCAGTCCGGACGCTTCCCCACCCCTTCCAGTCCGGACGCTTTCCCCCCCCCCTTCCAGTCCGACGCTTTCCCCCCCCCCCCCTTCCAGTCCACGCCCCCCCCCCCCCCTTCCAGTCCGACGCTTTCCCCCCCCCCCCCTTCCAGTCCACAGTCCGGACGCTTTCCCCCCCCCTTCCCCCGCTTCCAGTCCGGACGCTTTCCCCCCCACTTCCAGTCCGGACGCCCCCCCCCCTTCCAGTCCGGACACTTTCCCCCCCCCTTCCAGTCCGGACGCTTTCCCCCCCCCCCCTTCCAGTCCGACGCTTTCCCCCCCCCCCTTCCAGTCCGGACGCCCCCCCCCCCCCCCTTCCAGTCCGGACGCTTTTTTCATCCCCCCCCCCCTTCCAGTCCGGACGCTTTTTCCCCCCCCCCCTTCCAGTCCCGCCCCCCCCCCCCCCTTCCAGTCCGGACAGTCCGGACGCTTTCCCCCCCCCCCCCCCTTCCAGTCCGGACACTTCCCCCCCCCCCCCCCTTCCAGTCCGGACACTTTCCCCCCCCCCCCTTCCAGTCCGGACACTTTCCCCCCCCCCCCTTCCAGTCCGGACGCTTTCCCCCCCCCCCCCTTCCAGTCCGGACACTTCCCCGGACCCCCCCCCCTTTCCAGTCCAGTCCGGACGCTTTCTCCCCCCCCTTCCAGTCCGGACGCTTTCCCCCCCCTTCCAGTCCGGACGCTCAGTCCGGACGCTTTCCCCCCCCCCTTCCAGTCCGGACGCTTTCCCCCCCCCCCTTCCAGTCCGGACCCCCCCCCCTTCCTGCTCCATCCCCCCCCCCTTCCAGTCCGACGCTTTCCCCCCCCTTCCACGGACGCTTTTCCCCCCCCCCCCCCCCCCCCCCTTCCAGTGCTTTCCCCCCCCCCCAGACGCTTTCCCCCCCCTTCAACGCTTTTTTCCAGCTCTTATCCGGACACTTCCCCCCCCCCCCCTTTCCTGTCCAGGCCAGCTTTCAGCGCTATCACACTTTGAATGACAATTGCGCGGTCATGCAACACTGGACCCATATGAATTTTTTAGCATTTTTTTGATAGATAAAGCTTTATTTTGGTGGTATTTATTCACCGCTGGGATTTTTATTTTTTTTTGCTATATAAATGAAACGTCCAAAAATTTTGAAAGTGTTTTTATTATAAAATTTTGCAAATAGATCATCATAAATGTTGGCCAAAATGTATTCAGTTATCTTTTTAGTAAGAACAATAACCCAAATTGGTTTATAACCAAAAATTTTATAATTTTTCAAAAAATGTTTTTACATTTTTATTTTATTTTTTTGGTTTTTTTTTTTTTTTTGTTTACAAACTGTCACCCTAGCAGTACAGTGTTGCCATGGAGACACTGTACTACTTGTGGGGGGTGATGATTTTTTTTACACTGATTACCTTTACACCCATAAAGGCTGTAAAAGCAATCATTTCTCCTTCTCTCTGGCTGCATTCTTGCAGCCATTGAGAAATACTATGTGAGCTGTGATTGGTCACAGCTTGTCACATGGTACAAGGCTGTTGTAATTAGCCTTGTACCATGTGATCTCTGTGATCATTCACAGATTTCACACGTAGTAAGCAATGATGTCAGAAATGACATCTTGCTTACTATGCATGTGCTCACTGATTGGGCAATCAGTGATCACATGATCGGGACCTCGCAGAGAGGTTCTGTCCGACGGTCGGTGTTCCACTGTGTCCAGTGGGCATGGGAGCGCGCACAAGCAGTGGGTGGGGAGGCCGTTTATAAACGTCATCCCGCCCCTGCACTGCCACCGTCCTCCCGTTTATATACAACGGCCGGACAGGAGGTGGTTACGATGCCGGCGCTTGCACCCAAAGCTGATTGAGGAAATTAGCTCAGGTGTGGACATTGCTGGACACCTAGACAGGTTTTTGTCCTTGTATTCAAAGTCAACAGCTACAATATTTGTATTTTTTTTTTTTTTTTTTCAGACTGGAAGTCGCACATATATGAATGCTTATTATTGGAAAATTGGGTATGACGTGTCATGTGACTTTTAATGTCCAAAGCTGCATGACATGTCGCACAGGTGTGAATGTGCTCCTAATATTTATATTTCTCCACTATGTATCCTTTGAAATGTTTTTATTTCTCCACTTTGTATCTTTTTTCTTTAATGTGTTTATTTCTGCAGCTTGCATTCTTTCTCTGGGTTGGATTTTGTACTTCCCTTTGACATTGCAACTTTGTTTTTCCAACTTCTCCTCAGTTCTTTCTAAAGCGGAGCCTGTCCTATTCTAAGGGGAACTACTTTTCCCAGCATACCCTGGCGGTTTCTCAGCAGTAGTCCTGATCCTTTTATTGCTCAAGTAGGTAATACTTCAAACTTTTGTAAACTTGTAAAAATGAAAGGATCGCTGCAACAAAGCCGGCAGCTTGGGAAATGTGCCAGCCTCCAGTTAAACCCTTGTCTAGTTTATTTTCTTCTTCCCGAGCGGTGTGTAAGTAGGCCGTGGGCCTCCTCTGGGGTCTGTCGGGTTTTGCCAGAACTTATTAAGTTGGATGTTAGAGAGCAATTAATACATGGGAGAGCGAAGCGGAGGGTTGTGTGTGAGCGCGGGATGAGGAGGGTTTCAAAGGGAGCGCGGGTTCACCTCTAGTTCACTCAGAATGCCAGCGCTGGGGATTTCGGCTTCCTTCCACTTTGATCTCGGGGCTTTTAATAGTTTTCTAAAGTTTGCCTAGGTAAAGTCTCTGGAGGAAGCCGGGGATTGTGGTCCTAGTGAGATGCTCCAGATTTCTGCAGTCTGTAAGAGAACTCCCTGCTTAACAGAATTTTATGTTGATGCCCAATAAAACCTCCTGTGGCTGCCTGTTATCAGCCTTCTCCGGCAAAAGCCTGTCATCCTTTTTTCCTGCTAGCCATTCTCTTCCATATTCATTCTGGTCTCCTTAGAAGTGTGTGCTAATCAAACCTGGAAATGTAACCCTTCAAACATTTCATCTTCTGTCTCCTGTTGCCCTGCTAGTAAGGACCTTTCAGTCAGTGTATTAAAAGGTGGTGTTCTCCAAACCAGCTCGCTGCAACTCTTCTCAGCCAGCAACCCTAGCCAAAATCCATGGGTACTCCTGATGCACTATATTGCCAAAGGTATTGGCCCCGCCCTTCCAATCATGTGATTCAGGTGTTCCAATCCCCTCCATGGACACAGGTGTATACAATCACGCCCCTAGACATGCAGACTGCTTCTACAAACATTGGTGAAAGAATGGGTCGCTCTCAGGAGCTCAGTGACTCCAAGCGTGGTCCTGTGATAGGTGGTCACCTGTGCAATAAGTCCATCCGTGACATTTCCTGGCTACTAAATATTCCACGCTCAACTGTTAGAGGGATTATAACAAAGTGGAAGCCACTGGGAACAACAGCCACTCAGCCACCAAGTGGTAGGCCACGTCACATGACAGGGCGGGGTCAGCGCATGCTGAAGCGCACAGTGCGCAGAAGTCACCAACTGTCTGCAGAGTCAATAGCTAAAGACCTCCAAACTTGGTGTGGCCTTCAGATGAGCCCAACAACAGTGCGTAGAGAGCTTCATGGAATGGGTTTCCATTGGCGAGCAGCTGCATCCAAGCCTTCCATCACCAAGTGCAATGCAAAGCGTCGGATGCCGTGGTGTAAAGCACGCCACCACTGGACTCTAGAGCATGGAGACGTGTTCTCTGGAGTGACCAATCACGTTTTTCTGTCTGGCAATCTGATGGACGTGTCTGGGTTTGGCGGTGGCCAGGAGAACGGTACTTGCCTGGCTGCATTGTGCCAAGTGTAAAGTTTGGTGGAGGGGGGATTATGGTGTGGGGGTGTTTTTCAGGGGTTGGACTTGGCCCCCTAGTTTCAGTGAAGGGAACTCTTAAGGTGACATTTTGGATAATTTCATGCTCCCAACTTTGTGGGAGGAGTTTGGGGATGGCCCCTTCCTGTTCCAACATGACTGCCCACCAGTGCACAAAGCAAGGTCCATAAAGACATGGAGGAGCCAGTTTGGGGTGGAGGAACTTGACTGTCCTGCACAGAGTCCTGACCTCAACCCCATAGAACACCTTTGGGATGAATTAGAGCGGAGACTGCGAGCCAGGCCTCCTCCCCCGACATCAGTGCCTGACCTGACAAATGTGCTTCTGGAAGAATGGTCCAACCTTCCCATAGACACCCTCCTAAACCTTGTGGACGGCCTTCCCAGAAGAGTTGAGGCTGTTATAGCTGCAAAGGGTGGGGCCAACTCAATATTGAACCCTACGGACCAAGACTGGGGGGCCATTGAAGGTCATGTGCGTGAAAGGGCGGGGCCAACTCAATATTGAACCCTACGGACTAAGACTGGGGGGCCATTAAAGGTCATGTGCGTGGAAAGGGCGGGGCCAACTCAATATTGAACCCTACGGACTAAGACTGGGGGGCCATTAAAGGTCATGTGCGTGGAAAGGGCGGGGCCAACTCAATATTGAACCCTTCAGACTAAGACTGGGGGGTCATTAAAGGTCATGTGCGTGGAAAGGGCGGGGCCAACTCAATATTGAACCCTTCAGACTAAGACTGGGGGGTCATTAAAGGTCATGTGCGTGGAAAGGGCGGGGCCAACTCAATATTGAACCCTTCAGACTAAGACTGGGGGGTCATTAAAGGTCATGTGTGTGGGAAGGGCGGGGTCAACTCAATATTGAACCCTTCAGACTAAGACTGGGGGGCCATTAAAGGTCCTGTTTGTGGAAAGGCCGGCGGCCCAATATGTTTGGCAATATAGTGTGTGTAAAACATAATGAGGGAGCTGCCAAATGACGAGAGACTTCTGTATTACAGGGAGCTGCATATTAAAGAGAATGTGACGGTGAAGGAATGCCAGCAGATTCCAGGAGGTTGTCAGGCTGTTGGAGGAGACTGCTAGATAAATCTACAAGATTACAGGGGATTGCTAGACGCTGCTGCTGTCAATAGACTCATTATGAGCGGCTACTGAACGCTGCTCACACCTTAGGACTTGTTCACGTCGCATCCATTGAGCTGCATCTTTTACACCACTGTACATGTATGAGGTGACCGGGGCACATAGGAAAATGTCTTTATGTTCGTTGTTCACCCCATACAGGTCATATCGGCCATCATGTGAGCAAGTGTGATCATAAAGGCGCTTGTACTTTGTCTTGTAAGTGAAATAGTTTTACCAAATGGTGATGATGATTTTACTACACTGAGAGTCCATCCCGTGTCTGTTTTTAGATGTATATTGACAGTGCGCAGGTTGTACACCGGCGGTCTCTAAGTGACGTACACCAGGTGATAGGGAGAAGATCCATATTGAGGAAACCCAGGAACATATTCATGCCCTTTGGGGGTAAAATGCCCATGTAGACATAATGAGTATGTTAGGTCCACACTGGGGGGTGAGCAGATTGGAGTCCAGGTGCTGGGACTGCCTTGCATGCTCGGCGTGGTGTGGATTGCTGTGACCATTTAGCACAGAGTGGAGGAAGATATGGTTTTAAATAACAGTGCTTGGGAGTTGGGACTCTTCATATTGATTTGGACTTGTTATGAGGCGCATGCACAGATTATTCAGCTGTTTATTACTTTTATGTGTAGTTTTTAATATTTTTGCATATATGTTTATAATATTCGCCGCTGAATTCTGACAGGAGACCGCAGCCATGTTTTCTCTTTTAATTTGGACACCAGCAAGCCTCCCTGTACTTGGCATGTAAAGGAAGCAGAGACTAAGCTGGGGATGCCTAACCAGTGTGCAGCTCTCCAAAAAACACCATCCAGTCCAAGTACCCCCTACTGTTATTACTGCCTCCATACTTCTGTAGGTGTCTACCTATTCAAGAACTATGAAGATGACTGAATTTGGGGTATGGAATTTCGATTTTAATGTTTGTGTCCCCGTAATTGGTCACCGGCATACTTGCATTCCAAAATATAATTGTTTTGATCCCTTGAATGAACATGAAATCGGTGGAAGATATTTCTAGTCTGTGACTTGGTGACCCCACAACTCTGCAGAAGACTTATAGGCCAACTTTTCTCAACCCTTTGACCCAGGTTAATACATTATAGCAAGGATTCCCTGAGGGTTCCTCTTGGGTAAAAGGGGGTGGGACGCTCCTTACCTTGGTGGCCAGGGAAGAATGTCCCTTGCGGTCGGCGGGAAGAATGTCCCTTGCGTTGGCGGTCGGCGGGAAGAATGTCCCTTGCGTTGGCGGTCAGTGGGAAGAATGTCCCTTACATTGGTGATCAGTGGGCGTTTGGCGGGAAGAATGTCCCTTGCGTTGGCGTTTGGCGGGAAGAATGTCCCTTGCAATGGCGGTTGGCAGGAAGAATGTCCCTTGTGTTGGCGGTCGGCGGGAAGAATGTCCCTTACATTGGGGGTCAGTGGGAAGAATGTCCCTTACATTGGTGATCAGTGGGAAGAATGACCCTTACATTGGTGGTCAGTGGGAAGAATGTCCCTTACATTGGTGGTCAGTGGGAAGAATGTCCCTTACATTGGTGGTCAGTGGGAAGAATGTCCCTTACATTGGTGGTCAGTGGGAAGAATGTCCCTTACATTGGTGATCAGTGGGAAGAATGTCCCTTACATTGGAGGTCAGTGGGAAGAATGTCCCTTACATTGGGGTCAGTGGGAAGAATGTCCCTTACATTGGTGGTCAGTGGGAAGAATGTCCCTTACATTGGCGATCAGCGGGAAGAATGTCCCTTGCGTTGGTGGTCAGTGGGAAGAATGTCCCTTACATTGGCGATCAGTGGGAAGAATGTCCCTTGCGTTGGCGGTCGGCGGGAAGAATGTCCCTTACATTGGTGATCAGTGGGAAGAATGTCCCTTGCGCTGGTGGTCAGTGGGAAGAATGTCCCTTACATTGGCGATCAGCGGGAAGAATGTCCCTTGCGTTGGCGGTCGGCGGGAAGAATGTCCCTTACATTGGCGATCGGCGGGAAGAATGTCCCTTGCGTTGGCGGTCGGCGGGAAGAATGTCCCTTGCGTTGGCTAATAAGATTCCTGGACCCCCCCGGCACCTGGAGGAACCCTAGTATTCCATGGAACCCTGGTGGAGAATGGCTGCTCTAGGCTGTTTTTGATGTCACTTTCCTGCTCTTTCCTGACCTCTTAGTCCCTGTCACTTGGAGGAATGGTAATGACCTCACTATGTAGTATTTTCTGAGGCTCTATCATGGATTCTGATGATCACAGGCTTCCAATACTCATTATTTGTCATCTTCTCCAGTTTAATTGGCTCCAGTGGTCTCAAAGCTAATCAGCACAACGATGGGGATTTATCAGTCCTGCTGCTTTTTCTTGTCCATCTTTTTTGTGGTTTTCAGTGATGAACAAACTGTCATGCTGAATAAGTGTCCGTTATATAAATGGTAACGGAAAACAATTGGTATTCTATTATCCGGGGACTGGAGGAATCCCTGGAGCACATTCTGGGCCTAAAGGGGGTGTAAACCAGAATCTATTTTTCGGTATATTTAGCATCATTTCTCCCTGTCTCTATCCTTTAAGTAAACGTGTTTGTAAATGTGTTGCAGAGTTCCCCCCCCTGCCAGTAATTGCACCTCCTGCGGCAGGCGGACAATGCTAAGGCACTGCCTTTCAATGAGCAGCAGTACAGCCTGCCATGTGTGCTTCTTAGTGGGCTGCTTATCTGAAAGACCGATCAGACAGCCCAACAGCCAACTGAAGGGACTCCCTAGGTTGACTTGTGCCCGCACACGGGTGCACTCATGTGTTCTGGAGTATTTTGGTGCCCATGAGCCTCAGGTGCTGTCTACAGCCACCCAAGATATGAATGGGTGTAGGCGGCTGTACGCAGGTAGGTACCAATATTTGGCCATAGTGGTGCATGCTTATAGGTGCAAGTTCCTGAATGCATTCTTGGTCTGTACTCTAGCGCCACTTTACACACGCCTGTTATACCTGTGTACTTTCTCCCATTCATGTCTATAGGTGGCTGTATGCAGCAGCGGGGGCTTCAGGGCACTAAAATGCGCAAGAATGTTCACGCTGTGCCCATGTGCGTAGTTGGGCAGGGATCAGACCCCAAGCTGCCCCCCTTAAAATCCAGAGTACTCTGTTGGCTGTGCGTGAGAACCTTAAGACTTGTGAACTGTGTTGAGCCATTGGGCACATAGGAGACATTCTCAGGGAATAATAGAGTGAATGGAATAATTCCGCTCCCCTTTCACTGTGTGTCATCGCAGGATTAAACCGCAGCTTTGTGCGGAAGTGGAAGAGCAGGTTCTGGAAGACGGCCCTTATCAAATATTTCTCCATTGTGCTATTGTGGCAGCTTTTCCTTATGTACCAACAGATGTTATCACTGTTTAAAGCAACTTTGTGTAAAAGACTCGCAGCCGCTCATCGGTGGGGCCATTATGGGTGCGCTAGAAGAGGGAACATGGCCACCTAAGGTTTTATGATGGATGTTGGTTCAGCTCCGTTATGGGTGCACACCGGTGGGCTGGGCTGCCAGCAGCCTTTGTATATTTTACGTCCAATGGTTGTACCGGGTTCAGCAATTGTCATCAAATGTCCAACAAAGTAACTTATTCTGTATGACAAAGCTATATAAATGTATAATATTGATAGTGTGTGACTGTGGGGGAGGGGACATTAGAGTGTAAGGCTCCTCTGGTACAGAGACTGATGTGCCCGGGGGGGGGGATGGGACATTAGAGTGTAAGCTCCTCTGGTACAGAGACTGATGTGACTGTGGGGGAGGGGACATTAGAGTGTAAGCTCCTCTGGTACAGAGACTGATGTGCCTGGGGGGGAGGGG